CACAGCAGTCTGCAGACGCAGAATCAACGCCCTGGGATCCATGTTTCCAAACAGGGATTGTATCGCTTCACTAGCACCAAGCAGAATATTGGAGTTTATCAATATGATCTGGCTAGATGAGTCGATATGACTTAGGGGAGGGCACAATAGACCATAGGTCGCGGTGCATACCTCAAAACTAATATATCTATCTATCTATCTTTATTTTATATTATGCACTTATTATACACTAAAACGTCCCTTCATTGTTTCTACATATTTATTTTATATCAATTATTTCATATTTGCATTTTTTTGTACACAATTTTCGTAATATGAACAGTAAGAAATGGGCTGTATGTTTACAATTAATAAGTGTTGCCATATCCACACGAATGATAGCGATCAAAATAAATATAAATAATATAAAAAATACCCTCTACATAATATTATCATCTAAATTTTCCATTTTAATAAAAGAAAAGTGTTTTAAGGATTATAAGTATGTTTTATTGACTCTATTCGCTGCGTATGGGTTTTTTATTTTGGTTAGGTTTTCTTTCTGCATTGGCAGCCTTCCGCCGCGCTTCAAAACATAACATTGACCGATCCAACACCGGGGTGGTCGTTATACCTTTCGCGTATTACTTGTTTCTGCATTGGCGGCTTTCGGCGGCGCTTCAAAAAAATAACCCCGGCCGATCCAACACCGTGATTTATCAAGAGAAGGGAACGAAAAGAATTGTGATATTATGGTTATTTGGTACTCTTTTAGGGAAAACTTTAGTTTAGCATCCCACGATTTCAGAGTTAAGAGGGGTATGGTTGGATAGAGGAAATTCTCCAGATCTCGAATATATATAATTATTGCCGCCGGAAACTTATTGTTTTCGAGATTTTTGCATTTTAAGTTGAATATTTCACAAATTTTATTTTACAATTTCTCGATTTATGGTTATCTTTTCTTTTATATTATGCACTTATTACACACTAACACTTCACTACAATGTTTCTACATATTTATTTTATATTAAATATATTATATTATATTAAATTATATATTATATTAAATAGTTAAGTATTTGCTTTAAATAAGCATTTAATTTTTACACAATTTTCGTAATATGAACAATAACAAATGGGTTCCATGTTGTCAGATAATAAGTGTTGCCATATCCAAACGGGTGAAAGCAATCAAAATAAATAAAAAACTTAATCACCCTCTACAAAATATTATTAATTAAACTTAATTTTCCATTTTAAAAATTTTCCAAATTTTCAAAATCTTCACTGTTATTATAATTATCCTTAATAAAAATTGAAGTTTATAGAGAGTGATATATTCTCTTTAACATTACTTTTTTTTTGTTAAGATTTTTTATTTGCACTGGCGGCCTTCGGCCGCGCTTCAAAAAAATAATCCCGATCTGTCCAACACCGGGGTGTTCATAATTCAATCGCGTCAAACTCCTTTCCGCACTGGCGGCCTTCGGCCGCGCTTCAAAAAAATAACCCTGGTCGGTCCAACACCGGGGTGTTCATAATTCAATCGCGTCAAACGGCCTTCGGCCGCGCTTTAAAAAAAAACCCTAGCCAATCCAATACCATAATGTATCAATAGAAGGGAATGAACAAAATTATAGTTCATGTATTTGGGGTATAATCCTCTTTTATTGTTCATTTTAATTCGCTTTCAAAATATATATTTATATCGGACAACAGGGAACGCATTTGTTATTGTTCATATTACGAAAATTGTGTAAAAATTAAATGCTTATTTAAAGCAAATATTTAAATATTTAATATGAAATAAATATGTAGAAACATTGAAGTGAAAAGTTAGTGTATAATAAGTGCATAATATAAAAGAAAAGATAACCATAAATCGAGAAATTGTAAAATGAAATTTGTGAAATTTTCAATTTAAAATGCAAATATCTCGAAAACTATAAATTTCCGGTGGTAATAATTATATATATTCGTGATCTGCAGAATCTCTTCTATCCAACCATACCCCTCTTAACCCTGATCGTGAGATGCTAAACTAAAGCCCACCCCTCTTTTATTATTTATTTTAATTCGTTTGCAAAATATAAACATATATATTTATATATATATATACATATAATAGATATGGCAACTTATTATTTGTGGGTCGGCTTTAGAATAACGTCCCACGCTTTCGTGGATAAAATGGGTATCGGCGGATAGAGGAGATCCTCCACATCAAGAATATATATAGATATAGTTGCGGGAAACTTATAGTTTTCGAGATATTTACGTTTAAAGTTGAAAATTTCAACTATTTAAAGTACGTATTTTTGCGATTTAAAATGAATTATACACTTATATTTTTCACTTTTATATCCACTAACACTTGACTAATTCGTTTTTAGAAATTTTTTTTATATTAGATGCTGCAAAAATAGCTATATTTCAATATTTAAATCATTCTTCAATTTTATTAATTTTGACAATAACAAAATGGTTGTGAATGTCAAAACATCAGTGTTGCCATACTAATATATTTTGTAACCAAAGAAAAATAAAATAAACAGAGATTGTACCCTAGATACAGGAAACAACGCAAAAAGAATTTCTGCGCGTTAAAACTTTGGAACACCCCGGTGTTGGATCGACCAGGGTTATTTTTTTTGAAGCGCGGCCGAAGGCCGCCAACGCAAAAAGGAGTTCTGCGCAAAAAAACCTTGATACACCCCGGTGTTGGACCGACCAGGGTTATTTTTTTGAAGCGCGGCCGAAGGCCGCCAACCCAAAAACGAGTTCTGCGCAAAAAAACCTTGATACACCTCGGTGTTGGACCGACCAGGGTTATTTTTTTAAAGTGCGGCCGAAGGCC